GCATATACCTACGAAAGGATTCCCTGTGCCGTGTCATCGTTATAGAGTAAATTAAGAAGGCTACTACTCTGTAACAATAGAAAGCATTAATCTTTAGACAAACCACTATATTAGACTATGACTTTTCAACAAAACTGTTTTTTTTTTTAATAAGAAATTTTTGTTGCTTTTTTTTTTATCTTTTTTTATTTATTTTTGTTTTAGTTTTTTGTTAATTTATTATTTGTTTTTCTGCTTTCTTTTGCTCTTAGTAAAGAAAAAAAAATTTAAAAAGTTTAGTTTATTAATAGACTAACAATTTTTAAAAGCTAGTACAACAGGTTGTATTTTATTTGAGTACTAATAAAAGCAGCCAAATAATACTAGACTTATATTTTATAGCAGTAGTTTTTTATATATTTAGACTATATATAACCAACTTAGCTAAGTTCTAGTAAAACCATTAAAGAATAAAAAAAAAATAAACCAAAAATAAACAAATTTAAAAAAAATTTTTAACTAAAAAAATTATTTATAAACTCTTAGCAAACTTTTTAAATATTAATTTTAAATTTATCATTATAGTTTTTAATACAATATTATAGCTTATATAGTATAAAGAATAACAACTTTTATTATTACGCCTTTAGTAATTTACTAATAAAAATTAAACTTGTATTAAAAATAATTTTTTTTTTAAAAAAAACAAAAACATAAAAAAATTTAAAAATTTAAAAAAAATTTTATAATAAAAATTTTCAAAACAAAAGCTTTAAATTTTTATTACTCTAAAGATTCATACTATTGCATATATAAAATATACTCCATATTATTGATATTTTTAATACTTTTCAAAATTTCAGACAATTTGTCTAGAAGAGATAGTATTTAATTTTTTAATTTTTTTACTATTATTTTATTTTTTAAGCCAAAACAAAAAAACATTTTTTTAAATAAGTACTGTAATGTAATATGTAATAAAAAAAAAAAGTTTAAGTAAAAAGTTTTAGAAAAAATTAGAAGAATAATATATTTAAAAAAAAGAAATTTTAGTTAGTAAACCAAATTTTTAATAATTATTAATAATAAAGATCAATATTGAAAAAACCCATTACTAAGCCACATTTAGAGGCCTTACTTTCTTTAACGTTAGCAATAAATAGGTGATTATTTATGGATTCTACTACACTTCATGACCATTATGGCTTCTCCCACAAACAACGACAAATACACCGCAACTTCATTAAGAATTGTAAACCAGCAACAGCTCATTTCAATATTTTGCAAAGAGTTACTGCTGGGTTATCAGCACTGCATCGGCAACTGCTTGTACAGCAGAATAAAGTCATGCCGCCGCACGTTATGAATATCCCTGTCGACAGAGTACGAAGTAATAATTCCATATATAGTGTTAACACGAGTCCTCAAGGTTAATATAATTTTTTCTTAATCTTTTATTTTATTAGTATAAAGTTTGTATTTTCCATTAATATAAATGTTCAACAGATTTCGTCCAACCTTTTCAGATTTTAGCGCGTCGGTATCGCGTTCTTTATAAAATAGGCGAAGGATCATTTTGTCAAGCTGTATGTGCTGAAGATTTGTATTATCACGAGAGGCGCTTAGTTGCAATTAAAATCATGGCACCAAAATTTAATGCAATCGGAATGCAGGTTCGCATTAAAATATTTTCACGTAATAGATTATCGATTTTTCTTAATGTTAATAATTAATTTAGGAGTGCAAGACTCTTCGTTATCTAAACAAACACGATAACAATGACAATACACATATTGTTAAACTTATTAATACATTTATGGTTGGCAAACATTTTTGTCTAGTGATTGATTATTACCAAGGTGGCACACCAAAACTTCCCCGCATAGTGAATGAACAATATCGATTACAGGTGCTCCGAAAGTTGACATGTCAACTTCTGACAGCTTTGATGTACATAAGACATATGGGTATTTTGCATGCGGATCTTAAATTAGATAATATAATCTGTACAACGGGTATTTACTAAAATATTCACGATAATTCTGGATCAAAGATTTTATATTGCCGTTAATTGATCTTTATTATATGTAGCTGATAGTTTAGAGTTGAGAGTTGTTGATTTTGGTAATGCAATGAGCTTAGACGAGATCCGTAATTACTTTGAAACATTTGAAGTTCAAACTCTTGCTTACAGAGCTCCGGAGGTAAGTCATCATTTATTATGAACAATATTTTATTATTCTAAATTTGACTATCTTATTATACAAGGTGCTCATGGGACTTCCATTCGGGTTCGAAATTGATATGTGGTCTTTTGGGTGTATTGTTTGTGAATTATGGCTTGGACATCCTATATTTTATAGTTCGAGTAAACAAGGAATGATTAGAGAGATCGTTCAGTTATTAGGCCCTTTTCCGAATTCAATATATGCAAATGGCAAATTTTTTGCAAAATACAATGTTAGGTCCGATTTGATATCAATGAATCTAAATGGCAATGATAAAAACATGTTAGTGTAACAACGTTTACTGTACATATTATTATACACAAAATTATCTGACATACATCAACCATTTTGAACTATAAATTAGGTCTGATGTTTTGCGAACTAAACGACTTTCCAAGGTCTTAAAGACCAATGACAGCAATTTCATTAGCTTCGTTAATCATATATTCGAATATGATCCATCTAAGAGACCAACCCCTTTAGAGTGTCTATTACATCCATTTCTCGCCCCATTATTTCCCTTTGCGCTTTAAGTATAGACGACAGCAAGATAGTTAATATAAGACTTATTCTAACCACCCGACTGGATGAACGGTAGGGTTAATTACATTAAAATTAGGGTTAATAACATTAAAATTAGAGGCCTTAAGGTTACTTTTTTTTTTTTAATTTCTTGATCAGTCCTTGTTAATTTTTGAAAAATTTTATAACGGTAATTTAAATAGTTCAAGTTTAGAATAATCAATGTTTTCATTTTTATTTTAAAGAGCCATAAATTACAACTAATGGCTGTACTTTATCTGTTATTATACGTATATCGTAAAATATGTGAATATCAAATATATCGAAATATGCATTTAAAACAATTTAATTTATCGTTTACATATAATAATAAATCATATCAATATACGAATTTTTTTATTGTACATATGGAAAACATACGAATCAATGTTGATTTTAGGGTCCCCACATACATAATTTTGAATCTTCCCCGCCGGAGAGAAGCGTATTTACCTAAAATCGTATAGAAATAAGCAACGTCAAATGGGACGGGAAACACAGTTTTCATATCCTACCTGTGGATTCCAGATGACACTTCTCACGATTTCAGAATGACCATCATTTAGTGTTTGACATAATTGTAGTTCATTAATAGCAACATGTAAAATGCTGATATTTCCGCTATATAGTAATATAATGCCATTAATTGTTACAAGTTGATAGATAATAAAATAATTGTAAAAGCACTTACAGATTCGAACCGGCAAAAAGGTACAGTCGATTAGTGGAAAAATCGAATTGGCAATCGATAGCATAATCAATTTGAATGAAACTTCCTTGACAGCGATCTTGTCGAATATCTCCTATATCGCAAAGTAAGTTAATCTAAAAAAATAATATTTGAAGTAAATGTATAGTGTTTATGATATAATTCAAGTGGTATATTATAATTCACACATACATCAGATAAGCCCCATAAGCTGAATGTTTCTGTATGAGTTAAGCAATACACATATTCAGCGCTTGGTCCGAAATAGCCAGCTTTATTGATCGATGATCCAGAATTGATCACGCCAATCAATTCATCATCTTCGTTAAAGTTTTTCACTTCAAAACTGCATATTAAACCATCAGTAGAACCGCTGATAAAGTGAGAATCGCTTGTTGGATGGAATTGAAGTTGCGTAATATCATCGTTGTGTGATTCAATGAATTCAGCAGCGACAAGAAAAGGTTTTCTTAAGTCCCTGAAAAGAAAAGCGAGAGATGAATTCAAAAAATAATTGTTTCATATAATAAATCAATTCTATTTTTGCGTACCAGAAGAGGATCTTTGCATCTCCTTCTATAAGCTCAGTACCAGCAGCCAAAATCGTGTCGGAATTGTTGATATCAAATGATAACAAAGGCTCACGATTTTTAGCTTTATCAATTAAATCAATTCTGTAAATTTTAGTGTCTCCTTTATGTTAAATTTCGTGGAGACATTAGAATACCTTGGAAAACATTAGTTGGTTGACTACTTGGGATCCTTAAGTCCCATAAGGCAATACGACCATCCTTTGAACTTGAAATAATGAACTGATCTTTATGTAATTTAAGCTTTGTTATTGTATCGGTATGATAGTTTAATTTTCCAGCGAATGTAAGGCTAGAATTTGTATATTCAAAAGAAGTAATTTGATGATTTGAATCAGATATAAAACAGTAAGTAGAAGTAGCTGCGATATCGTAAATGTAAGGTGATGAATTATTGTCAAATTGGTAAAATGACTTTTGGTGGATTGGTGGAATGAGGCCTTCTATTACAGATATTTGTGTTGGCTTAATAGAATAAGACATTTGAAAAAATCGCAGTTCTTTTGCCGCAGTCGCACCAGATTGTCACAACAGATTCTCGAATTTGATTGGCTGCCTTGATTTTTTCTTTAATATCCAACGATAAGTCCACGCTGGCCGAATTTTGCTTTAAAATTAGGTCCGGTCCAAACGTGCCCGTCAATTTATATAAAATCCGCAAATATATCTCGTTTTCCTTACAATTATATAGTTGCTATCCAAAATCTAACTAGTTTTGAGCCTTATTATTATTTTATTTTGATATGTCAATAGAAAAATTTATAGCTTAATTTGAAATATTACATTAAGATTAAAACTATAATAAATTTATTTCCTCTATAGAAAAGAGAATAGAGGGCTCTTTAGTAATCCAATTTTGATAAACTTTTTTTAAATAAAAATCCTCACTAAAGTGCATCTAAAATGAAAGTTTATTCAGTTTTAATTACTAGATTTAGAGATATTTTAAAAAAGTATTTTTGAGTTTTTAGCAAATTAGATCAATTTTGGCAAAATCTAATTATACCTGTATTAGAAATGTTTAGATCCTCTTTCAAAAGTCATTAAAAATAAGTGGTTCAATTCATCCTATTATTTCTTGCAAGCTGCTAAAAGCAACAGGTTTACGCATCCATTTTAGCAATTGTGAAGGTAAATATTATATTGGATCAGTGTCTGAAATTTGATTTTTAAATTAGTTGCAAACCTGAACTAAATAATAATAATAATAATAATAATAAATCTACCTACTTGCGGATTATAATTTATATAGTAAATTTTGCTGATTTTTGGAATATGACTTTATTTAAATCCCCTAAATTTACGAATTTGCACATTATCGTGAATAATCACTACACCCTCTACCCCAATTTTTAAATGTCAGATTAGCGGAAATCGCAATGAAATCTTTAGCCAAATTATTACCG